CGAAGTAATTAGATTTTTGGCTTAGGATCTGTTTTGTATTTTGAAACATTAGATGGGCATATTTGGCTATACGTTGACAAGTATTGTCACTTTCTAATCTTAGTTAACATAAAGTTCCATCGTGATCTGTTAAATTGGTGAAGTTTGCGTTATTTGTGAAAGATGAAAATAAAGTTTCTGTCACAGACTGTCGTATTCCATACAATGCAGTAAGAAGTGTTTTCCGTCTTCTATACAGTTTCTTTTGCAAACTAGACAAAGCCTTTCCTCTACTGGTATGGATGCTCCTTTACCCTGTTTGTACGCATGAAGAATGAACTCTTAATCGCAGTTTAGTCATACTGATTCTATGAGCTTGATTTTTAACTGTCTTAAGACATTCTTCCAAGTTGAAATATTTTTTAATTTCGTTGTTGGTATATTTTCCTCTAGAGCAGTCTGATATTGTTGCTTCGAGCTTTTAAGCAATCTTGAGAATTTTTTCTTTTCTGTAACTGTTGTTTAATGCTAGAACGAATGTTTTTAACATGTTGCTAGTGAATAAATATTCTTGCACTAGTGAAATATTCGCGTTGCTAGTGAATAAATATCAGTTGATCCATTTTGTAGTGAATCACCAGCTACCAGTTCAGGTGACAAATGAGGATACCTTTCTACATATTTTTGCTTTTTCAGTTTGTGATAATCTGTAAAATTTTCCTTTGTAAAGTGGGCATGTTCTTTTAAAGCCAATGATCAGTCGAAGACCTCTTACTTCCACCATGGTGTTATTAGGCTTTACGTCATTATGAATATAACCCGAAAGGTGAATTGCATGGACACCCTCAATCAATGTCAGAAACAGATGATCTGGGGAACAAGACTGTGACAATTTCATTGTTTCAAGACTCCTGGAAAAGCTGTCTAAAGTAACAGTTCCTTTTTCTTAAACCAATAAATTGGGTTATTCAAATAAGATCTGGTTCTAAGCAAATGTAAAATAGCAGGGGCAAACTAGAGTGAGGAATAAGGTTTAGCATGACTTTTACTTCATTGATCAAGTTGGATGTCAGAAAATGCTTTCCATTACAAATTTTTAAACATTTATACCGTGTTTGTATTTGCCCTTATAGCAAATCCAAACGGTCCTTCTTTCACTTCAAGCAAATCTTTCGGGATTATCATGCTTTTAGGAGTATCTACTTCTTACAATAAGTGCTAGCAGATAAAGGAGTGTATTATTTTCTTCTTTTGTTTTCTTCCATGTATAAAAGTAGCTATTTGCTACTTGTTTAGCACTCTTAGTTCTTAGCTCAATTTTTCTTTTACTGTCCTGGTTGTACTGGAAAGCAAAAGACTTTTTTTCGATGAACGCAATACTTTCTTTGCCTGCTTTTTCTCTTTTTATTCCACTCTTGGAGCACTGAACCTGTTGACTGCATGTTGCTTCCACATGGTGTTTCAACTGAAATATGTGGGGGGTGTACTAGCAACTTGCACCAAACGGCATGATTAAGAATTCATAAAGACCATTATGTGTAGCAAAAGAAGTCTTTTTTTGAGTTAGGATACATTTCTATTTGCCAAAATCCACTTTTGAGATCCATCCAAGGTGGAAAATACACTTGTGTTAGCTAAAGAGTCTGGGGAATCAGCGTCGAAAGGCATTGGAAAGCTACCTACTTTAGTGACTTTATTAACTTTACGAAAATCAATACAAAATTTATGTGATCCATCCTTCTTGTTTACCATAGCAACTGGAGAGCTCCAAGGAGAGACAGACTCGAGTTATTCCTTTTTCACGAATTTCGTCCACCCAACGGTTGATTTATGGGAAATTACAGTCCACGTATTAAATTCGTCCCCCCCAATTTGTTTGATATCTTCTTGGATCAGTGGCGTTCTTAATGAAAAAAACGACAACGTAAATATTCTGGTTTGACACACATTCTTTATTATCTCATCAATGTAATAGATCGATCCATGGAAACATCTAAATCGTTTAGGGTTATTAAAATGGAACCAAGGTACATTACAACGATCTCAAATCTGGTTGACAAATAAAGACCCAGAGCTGATTTCTTCCTGCTAATTGAAGCCATATGTACACGGTAGATTGGCATATCACTCATTTATATTTAGATTATGTACATTCTCCAAACCTGTTGCAATGCAGATGTCTCCTAGACATTTTCCTTTCTTATCAATTCTTTCGATGCCATAACTTAACTCCCACATAGTTTTACGGGTGGTGTGTGAGATGTCCCTGTGAATTGCTAATGGGGGTAGAGGTTCCATTAAAGAAAGGTCATCGAGGGTCTTCAACATCACGATGGCACAGGGAATATCGTTAGTTTTTTCAAATGCAACAACCGCCTCTGCATGGAATGATTTGGAAAGTTTGTTCTTATCCGTATTGACGTCCAGATGATGTTTTGAAGCTTTGCTTGGATCTAGCATTGATTGCAAAGATTTAAGCTGGCATCATTCCGAAGTAACTGTCCATCTGGATAAATCTGAGGGAGAAAAAAATAGAATAGAAAGGTAAATTCAGATAAACTCCAGGCGGTTCTTGTGTTGTGTTAACCAAGTGCAAAGCAAATACGTGGAGCTGATTTAGTGAGTTATTGGATATAGAAGGAAAACTTTTATTTACTTAAGGTTTTTTCTTGGTTGATTGTCAAATGGGTTTTGCTCACTTATGATGTTTATCATCTTCCTGGCATCATTGGAGGTGTATGCATGTGTAAGTCGTAGGGCTACGTTTGTGGCTGTTTGCTTGTTGTGTTGTTGATGAGCAGTGCGGACATGTGTTGTAAGGTGCGCAGTTATGAAAGGTTTCTCCACAGGTTGCCCAGGTAAAGTTCATTCGGCAGCTCGCTTGTTGTGGGCTTTCAGGTGACGATTGAGAGCAGATTTGTCCGAACACGTCTTATAACAGCGGGTGCATTCGAATGGTTTCTCTCCGGTGTGAATGCTGCTTTGTGTATTTAAGTTGTCTGAGCGGTCGAAAGTCTTGCCGCAGATGTCGCAATGATATTCTGTGCCTGCTTTTTCTCTTTTTATTCCACTCTTGGAGCACTGAACCTGTTGACTGCATGTTGCTTCCACATGGTGTTTCAACTGAAATATGTGGGGGGTGTACTAGCAACTTGCACCAAACGGCATGATTAAGAATTCATAAAGACCATTATGTGTAGCAAAAGAAGTCTTTTTTTGAGTTAGGATACATTTCTATTTGCCAAAATCCACTTTTGAGATCCATCCAAGGTGGAAAATACACTTGTGTTAGCTAAAGAGTCTGGGGAATCAGCGTCGAAAGGCATTGGAAAGCTACCTACTTTAGTGACTTTATTAACTTTACGAAAATCAATACAAAATTTATGTGATCCATCCTTCTTATTTACCATAGCAACTGGAGAGCTCCAAGGAGAGAGAGACTCGAGTTATTCCTTTTTCACGAATTTCGTCCACCCAACGGTTGATTTATGGGAAATTACAGTCCACATATTAAATTCGTCCCCCCCAATTTGTTTGATATCCTCTTGGATCAGTGGCGTTCTTAATGAAAAAAACGACAACGTAAATATTCTGGTTTGACACACATTCTATATTATCTCATCAATGTAATAGATCGATCCATGGAAACATCTAAATCGTTTAGGGTTATTAAAATGGAACCAAGGTACATTACAACGATTTCAAATCTGGTTGACAAATAAAGACCCAGAGCTGATTTCTTCCTGCTAATTGAAGCCATATGTACACGGTAGATTGGCATATCACTCATTTATATTTAGATTATGTACATTCTCCAAACCTGTTGCAATGCAGATGTCTCCTAGACATTTTCCTTTCTTATCAATTCTTTCGATGCCATAACTTAACTCCCACATAGTTTTACGGGTGGTGTGTGAGATGTCCCTGTGAATTGCTAATGGGGGTAGAGGTTCCATTAAAGAAAGGTCATCGAGGGTCTTCAACATCACGATGGCACAGGGAATATCGTTAGTTTTTTCAAATGCAACAACCGCCTCTGCATGGAATGATTTGGAAAGTTTGTTCTTATCCGTATTGACGTCCAGATGATGTTTTGAAGCTTTGCTTGGATCTAGCATTGATTGCAAAGATTTAAGCTGGCATCATTCCGAAGTAACTGTCCATCTGGATAAATCTGAGGGAGAAAAAAATAGAATAGAAAGGTAAATTCAGATAAACTCCAGGCGGTTCTTGTGTTGTGTTAACCAAGTGCAAAGCAAATACGTGGAGCTGATTTAGTGAGTTATTGGATATAGAAGGAAAACTTTTATTTACTTAAGGTTTTTTCTTGGTTGATTGTCAAATGGGTTTTGCTCACTTATGATGTTTATCATCTTCCTGGCATCATTGGAGGTGTATGCATGTGTAAGTCGTAGGGCTACGTTTGTGGCTGTTTGCTTGTTGTGTTGTTGATGAGCAGTGCGGACATGTGTTGTAAGGTGCGCAGTTATGAAAGGTTTCTCCACAGGTTGCCCAGGTAAAGTTCATTCGGCAGCTCGCTTGTTGTGGGCTTTCAGGTGACGATTGAGAGCAGATTTGTCCGAACACGTCTTATAACAGCGGGTGCATTCGAATGGTTTCTCTCCGGTGTGAATGCTGCTTTGTGTATTTAAGTTGTCTGAGCGGTCGAAAGTCTTGCCGCAGATGTCGCAATGATATTCTGTGCCTGCTTTTTCTCTTTTTATTCCACTCTTGGAGCACTGAACCTGTTGACTGCATGTTGCTTCCACATGGTGTTTCAACTGAAAAATGTGGGGGGTGTACTAGCAACTTGCACCAAACGGCATGATTAAGAATTCAAAAAGACCATTATGTGTAGCAAAAGAAGTCTTTTTTTGAGTTAGGATACATTTCTATTTGCCAAAATCCACTTTTGAGATCCATCCAAGGTGGAAAATACACTTGTGTTAGCTAAAGAGTCTGGGGCATCAGCGTCGAAAGGCATTGGAAAGCTACCTACTTTAGTGACTTTATTAACTTTA